ATCCTTGTTAAGGGATTTAGATTGTTCTCATTCCAATTACCAGACTCGAAGAGCCTTGTATTGTTAGTTATTGTCACTACCTCCCCGTGTCAGGATTGGGTAATTTGCGCGCCTATTGCCTTCCTTGGATGTGGTAGCCATTTCTCAAGCTCCCTCTCCGGAATCGAACCCTAATTCTCCGTCACCCGTCAACACCATAGTAGGCCACTATCCTACCATCGAAAGTTGATAGGGCAGAAATTTGAATGATGCGTCGCCGGCACAAGGGCCGTGCGATCTGTCGAGTTATCATGAATCATCAGAGCAACGGGCATAGCCCGCGTCGACCTTTTATCTAATAAATGCATCCCTTCCGGAAGTCGGGGTTTGTTGCACGTATTAGCTCTAGAATTACTACGGTTATCCGAGTAGCAGGTACCATCAAACAAACTATAATTGATTTAATAAGCCATTCGCAGTTTCACAGTCTGAATTAGTTCATACTTACACATGCATGGCTTAATCTTTGAGACAAGCATATGACTACTGGCAGGATCAACCAGGTAGCATTCCTCACGAACATCGGTGCCTCGCCAGCCCGAGGGCAACCCTGTGGGGAACGATCAGGCGCGACGTGGTACGCGCGCGTTGGTTTTTCACAGCAAATGCTTCGACGGGACACGAAGGGGCGAGAGCCCCGATCCACGACGCGTTTCGCATCCGAGAGCACAATCAGGCACCCGTGCACCATCGCGCCTCGCAGCGAGCGATGCTCGGGGCACGGGGCCAAACTCGCGTCCTCCCTGGCTTCCTCGGGGGGTCACCGAGAGGAAAGGGTCAACGTGGCAACCGAGTGCCTTCGACGCCGGCAAGCAACACAGGATCCGCAGAGAACCTAGAAGCGAACGTCTCTGGAGGGACTGAGGGGCCGCGAGGGTCGACAGTTCGTTGCATGAGCAAGGAGCCTGCCAACACGCACGACATACACACCACTCACACGCCCATTGCGTGCAGAGGGCCACAGCAATGCCAAGCGAACTGTTGCTCCACGAGCACTCATGCCCACAAGAACCACAGAAACACCGAGCAAAGCCGAGCCCCAGACGTTGGGCGCGCACGTGAATACCAACAAAGCCACGACACAATTCAACTCCCATGGCCTAGAAACGTGATGCGCCGGAGGGTGAGGCAGTTCGAGACGTGAAGGATGTCCGTGTAGACCACAGAATGGAGGAGCGAGGGGTTATCCAGACCAGCCACCCGAGGTGGCCCCAGTACTACTGGTGAGCGGTGGTGCGGAGGTGGGCGGGGGCGGGCGGGGTCAGTGTTGGCAGCCCAGCACCCCAGGGGCCAAGGTCCATGCCCCACCAGCACCCATGAGCATGCATGGTGTGGGGCCCGGGAGGAGGTCACGTGACTCCCACGTGGGGAGGAGGGGGGGGAAGTCACTCCCCCATGTAGTAGTCTTAGAGAATTTTTCATAAGTTGGGCAGTGGATACTGGCATGTCTGAGCTGTCGCACCCCCCCTAACTTTTTCATAGGAACTCCGATTAAGCTAATTTTGTGTACATAGTTAGGGGATGGTCCAAGGGTATTCCAGAAAAAATTTCATAATTTTTTGACGAGGGAATTATTTTATAGGAATTTATTTCGGAAGGATTTTCCTAGTAAAATCCAAAACGGGCAGAATATGCGTCGAAAGGCCACGAAAATTTGCAGGCAGCATCCTGAGGTCATTTTCTACCAAAACAACCGAGGGTGGCATGGGGAAAAATGCATGGATTTTGAGACATGCCGTGGTTGGGTGAAAATAGGGTGAAAACTCACGTGACGGCGTGGCAACACCCATGCCATGGTGCGGGAAATTGCACCACAACCTCAAAGAACCTGATTTTTGCGACCATCTCCTTTTGCCCTGATTTTTTGCACACAGAGAGGGGATGGCCTAGACGTTGTTGACAGCAAGTTTAGGGCGATTTGGTCGAGCAGATTTTTTTATATGAATTTCGGAATGTTTTTCCTCGTAAAATCCAAAACGGGCAGAATACCCGTCGAAAGGCCACGAAAATTTGCAGGCAGCATCCTGAGGTGATTATCTACCAAAAAGACCAAGGGTGGCATGGGGAAAAATGCATGGATTTTGGGATATGCCGTGGTGGGGCGAAAACAGGCTGAAAACTCGCACCGTCGCGCGGTAGCGCCCATGCCATGGAGTGGGAAATCGCGCCATAACCTCAAATAACCTGTTTCTCGTGACCATCTCGGTTTGCCCTGATTTTTTGCACACGGAAAGGCCATTGGCTGGAGGTCGTCCACAGCAAGTTTGGGGCGATTTGGTCGAGCAGATTTCGCTGGGCGGGATGGGGTAGTGCGGAAGTTGGCACGATAGCAGAGCATCAGCAGGCCGTGAACCTCGAAATCGTGCGGGCCATGGCGTTGGTGGCGCAGCACAGCACGGACGGCCGAGCATTAACCCCAAAACTGAAAAAATGGGCATTTTTGAAGGGGGGATGCACGCATGCTGCCGTTCTGCTGGGGGTTGGGGCTGGGGCTGGGGCTGGCCGCAGCAACGCAGCACAAGACCTATTGCATCGCGGCAGCAGCAACGACTGTGGCAGCAAGTTGCGCAGGGAGAGAAGCACGCGGCTGCTCTCGAGCATAATTAATTAAATGGGGGGAGGGATGATCGATTCCGTGAGTTGGGAGGAGCCGAGCGGCAGGAAGGGCGCACCATGCGTGAGTAGCAGTAGCAACTCAACCAACTCCCACGACGTGCAGCTCACTACTCAGAAGTTTCCCGGAGTTGCTTATTTCCTGCCGCTGCCCATTGCCTGCCGTTGCTCATTGCTTGCTTCTGCTCACTTCCTACCATTGCTCACTTCCTACCATTGCTCACTGCCCATTGCTTACTACAAGACGTTTTAACCTTTTTTCTTATAAAAAAATGATAGCAATTAGTAGTTGAAAATTCTTGGCCAACCCTTTATTTTACTCATTATGAGAGTATTAGCCCCTCAACTTATAATAGATAAGATTTAGCCTCTTATCTTATTTTGATTACAAGATAATTGTTGAATGACTACCTATCTATAAAAGATTAACTTAGCCCCTTACCTTATGATTATGAGAGTATCAGTCATCAACTTGTAATACAAAAGTTTTAGACTTTCATTTTTTCAATTTAAATAAAAAATTTCAAAATGAATGACGATATTATGTGCTCGTTAAATTTGGTTACCCATCTTAACACCAACATGGTAATTCTTTACCATCATGATTGCCACCAGGAACATAGTTCTCTACTTTTATTATACTTGATAAAATTGGATCCAATTCAAAAATCTAACCTAACTTATTTGCTACAAATAAGATCATGGGTTTAAGCATTTAAGGTATCAATCTGAAATGAGATATAATTTAGATTAAAATTACTCGGACCCGATTGAAGGATTAAAACTTTTGGTTTTTAATAAACACATGATACTACTATTCATTTTTGGTTTTTTATTCAAATTAAAAAGATAAAAAATTAAAACTTTCATATTATAAATTGATGGATTATATTTTTATAATCAATAAAATAAAAAATTAAAACTTTTATATTATAAGTTAAAAGCTCAGTACTCTCGTCATCAGCAGTAGA